ATGGAGGGGATGACACTAGTTTCAGTGAGTTACGGTTTCTGAATTCAGACCAAATAAATCGCTCCCAAATTGAAAAAAGGGCTACTTGTAAGCATTTCCATCTGATACTTGCTTGATGGCTATCTGGATGTTTCACTGTTTAAAGGAATATATAAAGGCATAAGGTTTTTGTAATAATTATTTAAAGGAGTTTCAAAATATTTCATTTCATAATTAGTAAAACAATTTCCATATCTTCCTTGTTGCCATATGTTGGGATTTCAGACCAAGATAGCTGGATCAATGATTCATAACGACCACAATTAAGGTATGATTCAGTACCTACAGTGAGTCAGGAATAGTGGCAGATGAAGGAGCACAAACTAGGGACATTAATAAATGAAAACAAATAAATATTGGTTTTGTCAAATATGGATGCTCACATTCAAGTATATTTTTTCCTTTTGAGTCATTATCTCTTTAATGAAAGACAACACTGGACATTCAAGTTTTTAAATTTTACAGAGTTTTGACACCAAAATCCAAAGATGCCATGTTAAGCTGGAGAGGGTTTCAGAGATACACTAAAATGGCTCTTTGGAGGAAAGCCTTCATAATTTCAAAGTCCAAGTCACAGATTTTTTTTTTTTAGGGTTCCCATTACTGTAATTTCTCCTTTTAATCTGAGGTTACTGAGGAAGGGACACAAGGATTTTAAATTATGCATAAGACAATCCATTGGAATTCAAGGAAGAAAACACAATACCCACCCTTTTCCCCATTTGCAATTTCAGTTGCTCAAGGCCAACTATGGCCTTAAATTAGTAAATTTTTAAAAATCCAGAAATAAACAATTTGTAAATTTTAAATAACTTTATGATAACATATTGTTAAAACTGTTCTATTATTGCTTACTATTGATCTCTTACTGTGCCTAATTTATAAATTAAACGTTATACATGGGTGCATGTATAGGGAGAAACATAAAAGTAATTGTATATATAGAGAGTAATTTGGCACTATCTATAGTTTTAAGAATCCATTGGGGGTCTTGGAACATATCTCAGATAAGAGGGTCTACAATTCTATAACTTCCATTTACATTTAATTTTCATGATATCTTCTAAAATTTTCCATTTTGGTTTGTGCCACATAATGTACATAATAATATAAGTTAAAATAATAAGATATTCCTATATGGGGAAATAGGCTTAAGATGTTTTTACTGACAAGGATGCATAATTAGGAAAGTTCAAAGACCACTTGTTCTTCTCCCTGTGGACAAAGGGGAGGAAAAAGGGGTTGTCTGCTGCTGCTGCCTTTTCATTGGCCCTCTTACCATTGGCACAGGACAGGGACCCTTCAGAGCTGGAGACCTAGGCAGCTCCATGACACTGTACAGATGAGCAGACAGTAGACACTGTCCTCCCAGAACTGTGAGGGGAGACAGTCTGGAATCTGCTCCATCTGCCACTGGCTTCTCTGTGTGTTTTCTCCCCTCCTTTTAGCCCAGGTGCAATCACAGGTGAAAGTTTGAACTGTCAGTTTCCCTTCATTCTGGAGGAATCTTCTCCCTCATCTGCCTCATGGAATTGCCCCATATCCATTCTTCCTTCTCTGAGTTCCCTGCCCAAGTAGATGATTCTCATCTTACCCTAAAAAATACTATTTATACAAGCACAATCTCCAAAACTCCAACTGATGCTAAACATTTTAAATTCACAGCCATTCTAAAAGATTAGGCACTATTATTAACCCCATTTTATGAATGAGGACATGGCTGGGGTAAATTAAACCCACTTTGCCTGATCTCCTTAAAATTTGCTACTGATACTGTTTCTACCTCCAAGGGAAAAATAATGAAATGTTTTAAGGAATCTCTATATCTACCTGGAGGTCAGAATCTGGACCTGCCTACCTCTAGGTAGTTCATGCAAACCCACAGTTCCTTCTGTTTACATTGATGGGCACAGGGCTGATGCAAGTACAGCAAGAAACATTCCTTCAAAAAGTTAGGACCAGAAGCAATGTTCTCATGAAAGGGAAGAGCTAATCTTGAAAGTTATTCTGGGAATGTGAGGTAGGAGAATATAATACTTTCTTTTTTCTTGTGTATCTGTTAACATATTTTTCAAGTATATTTCTTGGAACTGTTGAGAGTTTTGAGTTTGTGTGTTCTCTTTGAAAACCATGTCCATCTATAAGTGACAGAAACAAGATGCTTCTGTGTCTCAAGGTGACCTATCAAGGTGTTACCCCTCTACCATATGTTTGTGAGCATGGATCAGGGGACCCTGCAGAGTTTAGAACAAGATCAGCTGTTAGTTCTTTGCTGTTCATCAGTTGGCAAATGTTCTATTTTAAATCTCTCATTATATATAATAGTTTTAATTTAAATTAGTTTTAATTTAAATCTTATTTATTCAAAAATAAAAAATATTCTTCATTTCTTTGAATCAAAATAATTAATTTTCTTCAGGGAAGAATAATGCCATGTTTTTACTGTGTGAGGAGCTGAGAAATGCCTCCTGAGCCCTGGGAGATGAGGCATATGGGGTTGCCCTCCCCCAGACACACAAGGAAAATCCACAGGCCGTGGATATGACAAGATGATCTCTTCAGAGAATAAACCAAAAGGTTGTTTTCAGATGTATGACTAAGTAGTCATCCTCAAACCCCTGTCACGGTGATGACATTGTGAAAAACAGGAAGATATAGATAATTCACTAATTAAAAGCTCAACCGTCTGGAACTTGATGACGGTCATGGTAAGAATGATCCTCTGAGAACGGAGAAAGTGGAGCCCAGGGAGCTGGGGATTGGTAGGGCCTTTCTGATCACCATCCCAGAGCATGCCATCCTAGCTGTGTGCAGTGAGACCCTAGGGTTTGTGCATTCCTGTTTCTGAGCATGAAATTTGCTCTCTTGGTTGTCATTTTTTTGTTCATCAAACATATCAGTACTAACATTTGATGAGTGTGTTTTTTCATCATAAAATAATACTATGGTCAGGTGCAGTGGTGCATGCCCATAATCCTAGCAACATGATGGGCTGAGGCAGGAGGATCACAAGTTTGAGCCCAGCCTCAGCAACTTAGTAAGGTCCTAAGTAACTTAGCAAGATGCTATCTTAAAATAAAAAATGAAAAGGGCTGGGGATGTGGCTCAATGGTAAAGTGCCTCTGAATTCAACCCCAAGCAACCCTTCCAAATTAATTAGTTAATACTATGAAATTCTGGCTTATATATCAGAATTTGGTTAAAGTAAATCTACCGCTATAAGACAAGATCAATAGGGTCATACCCAAATTGGTCTCTGTTGGCAGACTTGGAGACAAACCAAAGTCAATTACACTTCTAAGCTTCATGGCAGAGAGCTGGCCTTCTCAGTGTGTACTCATTGTTGCAAGATAGCTTGATATAAGCTGCAGCTAAAGATAATTAGAAAATTCACATTTCATTTGTTTGTAATTTTTTAGTATACTTTATACAAACTGCCTCATTTGAGAGCAATACTGTACATGTATGTATGTTACAAAGAAACATACAATGTAGCAATTAAATAGATTTTTGAAGTCACAGTCAATGGAAATGTGATAGTAAAGTAATACCTGCCATTAGTACCTGTGCAATTTCTGGAGGCTTCCCATACATCTGACTCTGATCTTGTTACTATCTCAACAACACAAGAGCCCTATCAGTTACAAATTTCACAGGTTCTGAAAGATCAAAGCTATTTTGTAGTCTAAGACAAGCCAGTTGGCCTGGTGCTGAGATCCCTAAAGAAGGCACGTGGAGCTTATAGAAATTGTTCTCCACAGCATCCCCACAATAAATAAGGAAAATGTTTCAAACAGTTCTTTATTGTAATGTTTGTCTGTGAAGACTAATGATACGGTGCCAGAATGTGGTCCAGGAAAAAAACAATTATACAAGGCACCAAGACTCCTCAACCCATATGATATGAAAGGAAAAATGTCCCACTCCAAGAAAAGGAGCCATCCTAGTGGGAAGCCAGTCTCTGCCTCTCAAGGGTACACAGGCCAGAGGCACAGAAACTAGACAGAGTGCAGGAACTACATGTTGTGGAGAAGATACAGGTGCCCTGTATGTGTGTGTGTGCAGGGAGGCATCAATGACAGAGAGATGTTAGAGTAACTGCTGAGCAGACAGGGGCTAGACTGTTCAAGAAATGTTGTAAGGAGTTAAGGTGTTCACTGAGTAAGCAATCCCCTGGCTATATCTTCCAGAAAACCTGCAGCAAATCATAGTGGTTTGGAGCAACAGCCTCAAAATTATATGCGTGCATATCCATAAAATTCTTAGGAAAAATTGTGTAGCTCCTTGCTTGTTATAAGTTGACATACTAAAAAAGTGTTTTATCATGAGTTCAAATAATTGCAAAGTACAGAATTTCAGGGGTATACTATAAATGTTGATATTTTAAATCAAAACTGTTACATCTGTCTTTTTACATGTATCAATAGAATACTAGTAAACACTACAGTGATTGAAGACAGCTATGATTTGGGTATGGTTTACATTTTGTCCCTCAAGGTTTCATGTATTGGAGGCCTTGTCTTCAGAATGGTGGTAGGATTCTAGCCTCATGGCTTCCTCATGCATGAGAAAGATTTGGTTTCTTCCTCCACTCTTGACACCATCACCACCAAGAGATGATGCAGTTAAGAGCAGCTTTTGCCAGAGCCTGTGCCATGCTGTTTGCATTTTTAGCATCTGACACTGTGTGGTATATATACTCTTCTTTATAAAGTTAGTCTAACTCAGGTATTTTGTATAGCAACAAAAAAACAAAGAAACCCTTTTTAGTTTATTTTTAAAATATCATAAACAAGATTTTTGTTTCAGATGAGAAGTTTTACCTTGTGCTTTTTATTTCCAGGAAATTTATTTTCTATTCTGCCTTTCTCACATGAATCTGTTCCTTTTTATCTGAAAAGTATAGATTTCTCAAAAAATTTAAGACTATACTTCAATTTTCTTCTTCTGGCTGCAACTAGGTCATGTCACTGTCCTCAGCTGCAAGAGATGAGTGTTTTTTATTTGGATGTCACCACTTCTATCAACAAGGAAGAAGCCGGTAATGGATAGCAAGTAAGCGACAAGTAGTCTTTGCCATGATGCCCTTTCCAGGTGCTACATTTCATTTCTAGTCTTATCAGTTTACAGTCATGAAATTTAATTAATTTTAATTTGAGGCCATCAATTGAATTAACCTTATGATTTTTTTTACCATGATAGACATTTTTTAATGATATAATTTTTTAAAGATGGACACAATATCTTTATTTATTTTTATGTGGTGCTGAGGTTGGAATCCAGTGTCTATAACCCCAGCCCCTAATGATGTAAATTTTATAAAGTTAAATTATCTTTAAATTTCTGTAATAAACCCTAGTCAATCATCTTATGCCATTTTTATTTTGAATAAACAATTTCTCAAAACATGCATAAATCACAAGTGTGTACTTTGAGGAATTGGAGAAAGGGAACCTGTCTTATAACTACATCCAGATTGTAAAAATATGACTTTATAAACACTCCCAAGGACCCCTTTTTCTATCCTTTCTCCCTCTTTCTTGTTCAGAAGTAATCAATGTCTAACTTTCAATATCACTGAGAAGTTTGGCCTAATTTTGAACTGCACATAAATGGACTTTTACAGAATGCATTACATGTGTGTGGCTTCTTTTGGTCACAATTATATTTATATGGTTCATTCTTGTTATTATGTGAATCTATAGCTTGTTTATTTTCATTATTGTATAGTATTCCTTTGTATAAGTATATCAAAATTTGTTTATGTCATTGCTGATGTAGCTTTAGGTTATTTTAGATAATGTGCATTAAAAATACTATGAACATTCTTGTATGTTGATCTATGTCTATTTTCACATCACTTAACATGTTAACTTAATTATTGTTTGTTTTGGGCTATTTATGCCCCTTGCACTTGCATATAATTAGCTTTCAACTTACATGTATGTGCACACAACATGAACTCACAACTGCTTGGATTTTGACTAGGATTGTATCAAGTATTTCAAGTATATTGTATATTTTTCTATGCCACAATATTGCACATATAGGTTATATATTTTTTAAAGATTTTTTTAAAAGATGGACACAATCTTTATTTATTTTATTTATTTTTATGTGGTGCTGAGGCTCGAACCCAGGGCCTCATATGTGCAAGGCAAGTGCTTTACCACTGAGCTATAACCCCAGCCCCAAGGTTATATTTATCTTGGATAAAGGATGCCTTTTGATTCTATTTCAAATGGAATTATTCTAAAATTTTTTTTTGTTAACATAAAGCATTCAAATTGATTTTAGCTTATTGTCCTTATCTAGTGTTATGGCTGAATTTATTTATTAGTTTTATTAGTTTTTATATAGATTTTTTTTGGATTCTATATGTCATGAGCAAATCATAACAGCTTCATTTATTTAATTTTAAATCAAGCAATATTAATTGGTTTTCTTATCCCATTGCACTCAAAAGTGATTCCCATACAATATTGAAGTGTCTGTGATGACTGACCATTCTTATTGCATCCCAAATTTGGGGGAAATTTTTCAAAATTTTGCCACTGTGCGAGTATATCTGTTGCCTTATGTTTTAATTTTTAAAGGTGATTTACATTAGGAGGAAACAGATAAACTTTAATTATATCCTCTTATAATTATGATTTTTAAAAGTGTCTTCTGTTTATATATACACACATATATACACACACAACTATATGTATATGTATAGATATATACATATATATAGTCATAGTCTTACATCCTCATTTGTCTCTAATGTTGATTTTCCTTATTATACTTGAAAAAAGTTTATTTTTGTTTTTCTTCAAATACCTATCACTAATGAGCTCTTTTCAATTTGTGTGGGCCATCAATTTCCTTCCAGATACATAATAATTATATAAATGTATTTTATTGTTAAGTTAGCATATAAATATAATTTCAAAAATATCCGATATGAGAGTCTCTGTTTTGTAATGGATAAATTTAATTTATTTAGGTTTGGGGAATTATAGATATATTTTGATTTTTTTCCTGATAATTTGTGTTTTGTATTTATTATACTCCCCCTACCTTTCCTTCTATAATGGAAATCTTTCATGCTTTTTGGTTACCTAGTGTCTTCTAAACAATTTTCCTAATTTCCTAAGTTTGGAGACACTTCAAATCTTTTGACCCCTGTCTCCCCAAAGTCAGAAACCATAAATTCACATATTCACCCCCCAGCCCACCCCTGCCATACACTTTGTTGCTGAGGGCCATTACCAAGTAGGAATGACGCATCGAAATTTCCTTGCCAAGCGTACCCCATGCTGCTTAGAGGACATTCGATGGGACATTGCATGCATGCTTTAATAAGGTGACCTTGCTCAAGGACCAAGGCGGATCTGGGTTTAGAGCTGATCAGGTTTGAGGAAGTAACCGGCTCCTTGAGTTTAAGGCGTTGCCAGTTTAAGATAATGGGTTTTAGGGAAGTTGGAGGTTGAAGATTATTGCTGGGATTAGGGTGTTCCTGCTGCTTGTTCCCATTGAGTTCTCGTGAGATTAAAATGAGATTTGGAGATAGCCTCGTGGAGTAGGTGAATTGTGCGGGTAGACGGCAGAATGCGATTGCCCCTGGACCTGTGTGGAGGCGGTGTGAGAGTGGGAATAAAGAATTGTTGTTTGAATCTACAAAGGTGTGTGGTGGCTCGTGATTCTGGTGCCAAGCCGAGACATTGGCTTTGGCACTTTGTACCCAAAGCACAGGAATGTGGCTAGACAGACCTAACTTCATAAAATTTGATTTAGGAAAGAGACAAAGAAGAAGACATCATGCAAAATCCATTCTGGCTGCAGAAGTGGTATACATTGGTTTTCCAGGGCTGCAATGGCAGCAGCATGAACTATGGAGAGCTGGTATGTGTCTGACTAGCTGAGGGGGCAATGGGAAGAGTAGGGATTCTCTGGCATAGGCTCTATAGTGTACACTGGGCACTGTTTCTTCCATCTAGCCTAAGCCAGAGCACTGGTCCTTTTTTGCAGATGCTGTGATTTGCCCAATGTCATTTGTTAGATTTGTTTTCTATTTTGATAAGCCAGAAGAGATTGTTGAGAATCTCTTGCTGCAAAACTTTGTTCTCAGCATGCTGTTCAAAGACAGCCCTCCATATTAAACGTATTTAATTGCACTGATATGTTTTACTGACTTATGATCATCCTTGTTTCTGGCTTTCTATGATTTCCTCTGGATTCATTTCCTCCTTGCATTATCCTGTAGTAGTTTTGTTTTTTTTTTTTTTTCTGCAAAGGTCTAGGGGTGGGAATTTTTCTAAGTGTCTGAAAGAAAGTTTCTTTGTTTCATTCTTACTCTTTTTTGGGGGAGGGGTATCAGGAACTGAGCTCAGGGGTACTCAACCATTGAGTCACATCCGAAGCCCTATTTTGTATTTTATTTAGAGACAGGGTTTCACTGAGTTACTTAGTGCCTCATTTTTGCTGAGGCTGGCTTTGAACTCACGATCTTCCTGCCTCAGCTGCTCGGATTATAGGCTTGTGCCACTGTGCCTGGATTCATTCTTACTCTTGTAAAATAATTCCTGGCTACAGAATTCTGGGCTCAAAGTTACACTGGTATTTTCCCTCAGCACTTTGAAGCTTTTCATTCATCACTTTGTGTATTCAGGGTTGCTGATGACAAATAGGATGTGGTCTGACTTTTATGTTTTAGAAGAAATTCGTGATCTTTTTTCTCTGGCAGCTTCTTTTTCTTTATCTTTGATATTCTAAAGTTTAATTGTGCATGTATTTATGCATTGTACATGTATAGGTATGTACAGGTGCATGCTTACATGATTCATTTCAAGTTCAGTACCATGTATATCAGCTGTGTATGGACTTTTAATTTCAATAATTACGTTTTTTTATTTCCAGCCTCCAGGGTACAGGGAGTCACACCCTCTGTTTGTCGCCCCCGTTTTTCACAGGCATTGTCTTTTTGTAAAGAAAAAAAATCATCATTTTAAGTACAAGGATTGCTCCTTCTTGGGACTCTAGTGTTATCTACCAGTTTATAACTTTGCTTTGACATATTTTAATTTACCATATCTAAGGATGTTGTGTAGAAGGAAGCAATTTTAACATGTGGTTTAGGGGCTATCTTGACAGTAGGTTTATGTTTGTCAACTCCATGAAATAATAAGACCCTCAGGCCAGAAGCTAAATCTAGCCCCAGACAAGAGTGCGGATGGCAGAGCAGAGCAGCAGAGTCCTCTGGCTCATGCTGGCAGCTCTGCATGGGGCTTCTCTCACATGTAATCATCCCTCTATGTTGGTGTCTGCTGTGGTGTTCTTGCCCATCTCTGGTACCTGGACCTCGCCTGCAAACTCTTCATGCTTTAGCATCAACTTGTTCTGAGCTCAGAGTACTTGGCTGGGAGAGTCTTACCTATACCCACAGACTTCCAGGCTTCAAAGGAGATGTTGGGATGCTCCTTAGGGCAGTCTGTGAGTTTGGATGCTATGGTTTGGATGGGATTGGTCCTCCAAGCGTGGTTGGATCCTCAGTGTGGTAGCATTGAAAGGAAATGGGATCTTTAAGAAGTGAGGCCTGCAGGAAGCATTCCATTCTGCCCACACACAAAAGATGAGTTTTTTGGAGTTCTGATTTTCTATGCTACCCTCTCTTCTCTGGATGCAGATTAATTTCAAAAACAAGCAAAACTAAACTATTGTGTTTGAAAGTCAAGATGGTGTCTCCTTTTGTGGGTATGGTAGTGATTTGGAGAGGACAGGAGAAGGATCCCTAAAGTCTTGGTAATGTTGTGTTCTTTTTTTTTTATCATTGGTTGTTCAAAACATTACAAAGCTCTTGACATATCATATTTCATACATTAGATTCAAGTGGGTTATGAACTCCCATTCTTACCCCAAATACAGATTGCAGAATCACATCGGTTACACATCCACATTTTTACATAATTCCATATTAGTAACTGTTGTATTCTGCTACCTTTCCTATCCTCTACTATCCCCCCTCCCCTCCCCTCCCCTCCCATCTTCTCTCTCTATAATGTTGTGTTCTTAATCTGTGTGGTGGTTATATAGAGATGTTCAGTTTGTGCACATTTATTGAGCTATACATCTATGAGTGGTGTACCTTTCTGTACATTTGTTATGTTCCACTAAAAATACTATATTAAAAAACAGGTTGGATCTAGTGGGAAGTGATTTAGTCATTACCAGCTTTGTGATGGGATTAGTGCTAGCCTCTCAGAGTGGGTTAGGTCTCAGGAGTGGATTTTCCCCACAAGAACAGGTATTTATAAAAGAATGGTTCTGATCTCTCTCTGGTCTCTTGCTTCCTCTCTCACAGTGTAACACCCTCCTACAAACATGCCTACTGTATCAAGCTGTCTGACATCAGAAGCAGATTCTGGTGCTATGCTCTTATACTTGAAGAACTTAAAAAATCTCTTTGCTTTATAAAGAACCCATTCTAAGGCGTTCTGTTATAGCAATAGAAAATGGACTAAGACAGCTCATCTAAACATGTAACTCTTCAACTATGTTTCCTCTAATCCTCCCTATGTGACTTGGAGAACTTTCTTAGACTTTGGTTCTCAAATTAGAAGTTATCAAAGGCCAGTGGTTCTCCAACTTTGTTGTGCATCAGAATTATCTGGTGGGCTTATTAAAATATGGATTTCTAGGCACTGTACTAATTCCATGGATCTGAAGCAAGGTCTGAGATTTTACATTTCTAATCAGCTACCAGGTAATGCCAGTGCTTCTAGTTAGGGGACCACATTTGAGAATCACTGGCCTAGACAGACAAAAAGGAAGCTGATTCTTTCTTTTATGCTTTACCTTGGTTTTTGAAGAATCAAAGCCAGGACTTTGACCTATTTATTCTCTGATTTTACCAGCTAATGGGTAGTACTCACAGCTAGCAGTCTGAGCTGGAGCATTGGGAAGTGAAGGGTCATGGGAGAAAAAAAAAAAAAGAAAACCTACATGGATTATCATAAGACCATAAGTCCAATTTTAATCCAAAGTTATTTTAGGGTGATGGTGGTTTTTTCTACAAGAAGTTATACGTACATAGAACTTTAAATCACTATTTTTTTTCTTTTCTGTAGTTGTTCCCTCTATCATGTGGGATACTAGATTCTGGGAATCAGCTGGGATCTGGTGCCACGACCCAATGAACATTAATATTACACACCCTGGACCAGAGGGACCCTCAGAAGTGAGAAACTGAAGAATTTCAGATGTCTCAAGTGACTTCACATGGCACAGAGGGAAGGAAACCAATTCCGAGGATACTTGCCCGCCTGTATCATTAGTGCAACTTATTTAAGCAGCTTTGTCCATGGCTGAACATCCCTCCAGGTGATTCCCACCACTTTCGCATGCAAATGATCCCTCAATGCATTGTCGATCAGAAAAATGATTAACATTTTATAGATGGTGTGGCATATCTCTTTGTGTATGTGATTTACTAGTTGGTATTTTAAATATGTTAAATCTAAGACGTGTTAAAAATGTAAAACTCCAATAAGGTGTAGGAGGAAGGCTAGCATATAGTAAATGCAAGAAGTTCATGGTTCTCATAGCAACCACAGAAAACATATTTGAGCATCCCCCACAAACCTGGACTTCCTTCAGCCCTGCCTGTCTTGGCGAAGGCACCATCTTTCTTCAAGTTGCACAAGCCAGAGACAAGACAAATGCTGGCAAGGCCTCTTGCTCACCAGCCTTCCTCTAAGAGGGCAGGCGCGCACATACGCACACATACACACAGCTCACAAAGGCCTCTTTCTTTAGTCTCTCAAATAGCTTTCAGTCCATCTGTTATATTCTATCTGCCCCCACCCCCCATCTAGGCGACGCCATCCGCTTTGGTTCTCACAATCTGCTCTACACTTGGCACAGTGCTATGTATTTATGTATTTGTTATTTTTTTATAGCACACCTGTGTTATCAGCGGCTCTTATACATGACAAAAGATTCTCCACTGCAAGCATAATAAGGGCGGGCTGACTTCAGGCCTCCCTGAGATGCCAGCCATTTCTCATTGACCAGACTGGCAAAGATGGGAATGGCTTGATAACGCTGTTGACAATTGTGCAGGAAGCAGACACTCTTACCTGTTGCTGATGGCTTTCTACCAACTATACCACTGCCACTGTAATTAGCAATATTTATCAAAATTATAAATTTATCAAAAGTACACACACACACACACACACACACACACACGCACACTTTTTGACCCACTTGTACAAATTTATCCTGTAGTGCAAAATGTTATAGGGTGAAAATTATTATTAAGCCACTATTTGTAATAGCAAATGGTTGGAAATAACTAAATCGTCAGCAATTGAGGGGATGGGAGAAAATGTATAAAGATACATTCATATAATGAAATTCTACATAGCTGTGCAAATATAGAAATCTCTCTATATAGACACAGAATGTTATTTAAGATATGTGAAAAAAACTAGTTGCAGAATGATGTTGTGAATTACATATCTGCTTGTATGTACATAAAATCTTTCTGGAAGGGCACACCAGAAACTGATAACATTAAGCCATGATAAGGGAATTGGGTATCTGTGGGGAAGGATATTTTCCCTGTGTTCCCTATTGTTACTTTAAAATATTTTTAAAGATTTTTTTTAATTTTTAAAATTGATTTTTAAAAAATAAATGACAGCAGAATGCATTACAAGTCTTATTACACATATAGAGCTCACTTTTTCATATCTATGGTTGTATATAAAGAATGTTCACACAAATTAG